CTATTATACGAATATTTTTATGTTTTTCAACTATTTTTTTGGAATTAACGACTTTTATGTTACTACTGTAACAATATTTTTTATTTTTATATTAAAACAAAAATAATATTATTCATTTTAGTATATATTTTTTAAATTTAATCTAATAGTTTTATTATATATAAAATTAATAATTTTATTATATATTTTTATTATAATATGACTATTAACTTTATGTAATTAGAATAAATTTGTCAAATTAAATTTAAAAATCTGAAAAAAATATATATTAAAATAAATAATACTATTTTTTTAATATAAAAATAAAACTTTTATATAAATACTCATATTTTTCATATTTTTATTATATTTTATTAATAAATTTTATTATAATTTTATTAATTATATATATTTAATTTTTTAGAAAATATTAATAATAATTCTGAAAACGTTTTTCTAATTGCAAAATAATTTAATTAATTTTTTAATTAATTTACTTTGTAATTTAAATTAAAATAAAAATAATAATATTATATTAATAAATATTTTTTTAATAAATATTGATGTTGTTATATTATTTATAATTATGAATATATAATGACTAACAAAATTATAAACTTATATATATAATTTATTAATAAAGTTGTTGAGAAGGTAAAAAAGACAGTTTAAAAGCAGAGAAGGAAAAAAATAACAGTTTGAAAACATATATAATAAAAATTGAACTTTATCTTACAAAAATTTTTAATTTTATTAATAAAAATTTATTAATATATATTTTTTTGAATTTTGAATTTAATTTAACAAAATTGTTCTAATTTCAAAAATTTTTTATAATTAATTTTATAAAAAAAATTATATTAACTTTGTAATTAGAACAATTTTATTAGATTTAATATAAAAATAAAAAATATTTATTAATAAATTGAAAATTTTTATATAATAATTTTTATTATATTATACATATAATTCCATAATTTTATTAGTTGCTATATGAGTATATATATTTTAAAATACAAAATTATGAACTGAAAAAACAACAATTTTTATTTATTGAATTATCAAGGTGGATTTTAGTTGTTTTACTTGAGTTTCACAGATCGTGCTTTTTGAATTATCATTTTCATCAATAAAAACAAGTTTGCGACTTGGTATACTTTTTCGTCAATATTTTTTACTTTTTATCCCAATTCACTAATTGACAATAGCATATATTACAAAGAGAATCTTCTGCAGACAAACTAAGATTATGTTCTTTATATAAAGGACCATTTTAAGCTTTTGTAAGTACATGTACTGAAAAGGTTCAGCACTTGCTTCCAACTCTGATTTGAGTACAGACTGCATATGCTAAAGAGAATTATTTCTTTATTTAAAATTCTAAAGAAAAGACGTGAGATAGGATTAATTAATGACTTTTTCTATTATGCATACAATGGAGGATTTCAATTGGACTGCATAATGGTATATGAAAGGAATTGTGCATTGATAAAAGTACATGTACATACTTGATGCACATTGCCAGTTTAGTTAGCGTTAATAAACAGATGAACGATTTGGACAATGAATCGAATTGTTGATACATGTATATATATATATACATGTAATTGCCTTGAATCATATTTCGGGCACAACATGCATGTCTGCTAGATTACAACGATAAAAAAACTGTATATTTGATATAAAATCACCATAAAAATCTTCCTCCACCTTTCAAAGTATTCACAATACCCGTAATATTACTGGACTTCTTGTATTGTATAGTTATTCGTACACTTATCATCTTTATCAAATATCCGAACCAAAATTAATTCAAGACGACGAAGCCAACACATCGACACAAGATTAATGGTACGAAAACAACAATTAATGGCGATGTAAAATCTACCGATCAAATTTCTTCTGGGGATAGTAGTAAAGGACAACACACATTTAGTACTATTGTGGATGAAAATATCTGACTTATCTACCACACGGCCGCTTCCATAGTCAACGTATCGCATTAGAGAATGCTCTGATTTTTGCATGGATGCTAAACCGAACTTTGGTAATGCCACCGATATTACTCGGTGTGGTCCAACAATATAATCCTAGGGAATCAATTGAAACAATATAATATCAGAAATAATGTCACAGACTGCGCGAAATTCAAAAACGAAATAAACGAGCAAAAATGCCTTGATCGAGTATATCCATGGGATAATGAAATTCATCAAAGATCATGTGAGAATTGTTCATCGTCCTGATTTATTTTAACAAATCTTAAAACGCAACTGAATATCGAAAATGACGAGGACATTTACTTTCCTGATGACACCTCGCGACATTATTATCGAATTTATGATACACCTGAGTCGGAAATTGGACTTGATAAGTACGAAACACAACTCTTAAAATCGACTTTGGAAAAGAATGATGTGAAATTATTACATTTTAATAGTTTAAATGGGAAAACGCTTCTAGTCCTCGAACAAAAAAAAAATACCGAGTTTTCAAGACAATTTTATCGTAATTTATAATCGATACACCTGAAATTGTTGATTGCTTCTGATCGAATAGTGACGCAGTTGGGCGGGGTTGGAATTATAGGATTACATGTGATCGGCGAGGAGGCAAGAAAAACAGGAAAAATGTCATTAACTTAGTAAAGTAAGAAGTAAAACAAGATACGAGCCTACATCAACGCGAGAAATGCAACACATTAGCTGGAAAATATCGGTCAACATCTGTTAAACCATCGAAGACTGTTGTATATCTGGCAACTGATGAGAAAAAAATACATGAACAATTTGCACCATTGTTTCTTAATTTTCCATGCAATTTTACTTTGTTAAACTTTGAGACTCATGTGAGAGAGCTGAAAAAAACTTGACGAATCTGGTGGATGGTGTTAATTTATATAAATTTTGTTTAAAGGCCATGATAAATAAAAAACTAGTCTTCAGCTTTGTTATTTTCTTCGCGTCTTGCAATTTGTTGGTGCGAGTGTCTGGACTGCAGGTGTGCTGGTGGTGCCGTTGTAAAACCTGCATTTAAACCGAAAGAGTATAGAAAAGTTGAGGACTGCTTGTCTTCAACGAGTGCAGAAATCATTTTCCCCTCGGATTTCAGCTATGGGACTTGGGAAAGGATAAGGTAAAAATTTGTACTTGTGAATTTTTGGGGAATTTTGTATTTAGGGATGATGACAAACTACGTATTCTTTGCTACAATAGAGTCCAATACTTACCTGATGCTGTCGCCTTTCCCACAAGTTTGACACAAGTTCAAGCATTAGTTCTTTGTGCGAACGCGTTTCAACGTAAACCGGTGCCGAGAAATGGGGGTCCTAGGTAAGTTCTCAAAAACATGTGTCATAAAAATATGCGAGTATATCACTTAATGATTGATTTCTAAATCATTTTTTAGTTATGAGAGCTTTTCATCACGCAATAATTCAATCGTAATTGATATTAGCTATATGGTTGATGTGATCATCGACGAGGTTGCAAAGAAGGCTACAGTTGGTGCTGGTATTCGTCTTGGTCCATTGTATCTACAATTAGATCGAAAAAATTTCACGTTTATTGTGGGTACATGCCCGACTGTTGGATTAACGGGTATTATAGCTGCGGGGTTAGGTAAAGATTATTTCTGCTTTTTGTAAATTGGCATTATATTGTCTAAAATTTAATTAATAAATTTCATGACTTAATCTAAATAGCGGAGATCTAGCTCTCAGTTCAAGTAGTTACGGCAGATGGTAGTTTACTTATCGCCAACTCCAGCCAAAATTCTGATTTATTTGGGCTTTAAGAGGTGGAGGAGGAAGAAGTTATGGAATTGTTACTCAGTGGACATTGAGTCTTATTCCTGCTTGGCAACAAAACACTGTCTTTCAAATAAAATATCCAATAAAGTCGGCTCAACAAGGACTTAAATTATGTTCGTCGACTCGCCCGAAAATCTTACTACAGTGTTGGTTATGAGCAAGGGTGACGAATTAATAATAACTGGTCATTTTTTAGGTGCTTCAGATCAGCTAAAGACTATATTGGACGCGAGTGGACTTCGGAATCTTGACGGGAAACCATCAAACGAGATGTATAAGGAGACCAATAATTTAGGTGCGTGTATATTTTGCTGAAGAAGATGACTTGTCAAAACGCAGTGTTCGAAACATTGGTACATCACCATTTACGAGTAGTGCTAATTAATCTGACGCAACAGTTGGAATAATATCAGATTATTCGCCTGGTCCTAAACAACGGCGCGCACTCGAAAAACAAAAGCAATGTTTTTTAATGAGTCTTTCACCTTGGAGCAAACCAAAATTATTGAAATCATGTCTCGGTGATGATGCATACGCTGAATTTGATGTTTATGGTGGGATATTCAGCAAACAACCCTCGAATTTAACTGCTTTTGTGCATCGATCAAATACAAAGATCGGGGCACAATTGTGTGTATTTTTAACTGGTGACACAAAAGAAGGTAAAGAACTATTGGATTGGATCAAGCCTTGGGATACTAAAGTGAGAACTTTCTCTAATGGTTTGAGCTATCAGGTGCATACATTATATTTGTTAAGTGGATCTTTTGTTATTATCCATTAATTTAACACTTAAATTTTTCGGGGGGGGGGGGGGTTGTGTCGACGCTGATCTCACTGATCCACAAGAAGCTTACTTTGGAAGTAATTTTACACGATTGCGAGTTATTAAAGCAAAATACGACCCTGATAACACATTTTTAATTCCGCAGTCGGAATAAATGCGTATAACGCGCGTGTTTAATAAATAACAATAGCAATAGTAATCAAAATCAAAGCACATCATGGATTACAATGATATCATTTATTTTGACTTTAGTATTAATGTTTCAATTCTTCAAATGAAAAAAATTCATAGTTTATTTATAACGTAATATTTTTTAACCTAATAATATGATTCTTGAATCCTAGATAGACAACACCCCAACGATAACGAGAATTGAAACCCACATAAATCTTAGATTTGAAATGACCGAT